GATGTGATCTAATTGATGAGGTCCTTTCACTAGATGTGATCTAATTGATGAGGTCCTTTCACTGGATGTGATTTAATTGATGAGGTCCTTTCACTGGATGTGATTTAATTGATGAGGTCCTTTCACTGGATGTGATTTAATTGATGAGATCCTTTCACTGGATGTCATCTAATTGATAAGGTCCTTTCACTAGATGTGATCTAATTGATGAGGTCCTTTTACTGGATGTGATCTAAATGACGATGTCTATTCACTGCATGTGATCTAATTGATGAGATCCTTTTACTGGATGTGCTCTAATCGATAAGGTCCTTTAACTGGATGTGATCTAATTGATGAGATCCTTTTACTGGATGTGATCTAATTGATAAGGTCCTTTCACTGGATGTGATCTAATTGATAAGGTCCTTTCACTGGATGTGATCTAATTGATAAGGTCCTTTCACTGGATGTGATCTAATTGATTAAGTCCTTTCACTGGATGTGATCTAATTGATGAGATCCTTTTACTGGATGTGATCTAATTGATGAGATCCTTTTACTGGATGTGATCTAATTGATAAGGTCCTTTCACTGGATGTGATCTAATTGATGAGATCCTTTTACTGGATGCGATCTAATTGATAACGTCCTTTCACTGGATGTGATCTAATTGATGAGGTCCTTTCACTGGATGTGATCTAATTGATGAGGTCCTTTCACTGGATGTCATCTAATTGATAAGGTCCTTTAACTGGATGTGATCTAATCGACGAGGTCCTTTAACTGGATGTGATCTAATCGACGAGGTCCTTTCACTGGATATCTTCTCCTTCAGACAGTCGGAGTGAAAGTTAGTCTTGGTTTGCGCAAATCATTAAGGGGATTTATACTTTTAAATGGGCTTGCTGTGGAATAACCTATAGTAGATTATCTGTATATTGTGTGAATACGTACCTTTTCTTCAATCGTGGCGCCAGTTTTCAGAGTCTTGACTGCAACAGAGATAGTTTGACTTTGGTTGTCGATCCCAAACCCTTCGCCACCAAACACAGCCCCAAAGGCTCCCTGCCCTAATTTACGATTCAGGACTATTGTGTCACGTGGTAGTTCCCAGGTATCCAGGGCAAATACTGCGGAGGCAGACTGGGCATCCAGAAGACCAAGTTCATTCAGTCGTGTTTTGATACTTCGATATTTGGATGAGTACCTATGTTTCAGTACAAAACAATTATTAGATAATGAACAAATAGATAACATACGAAGCGATATAAAGCTATTTCAAAAAGGTGGCTAAGGTTTTCTTGCATAATTTATGTCGTTCTCACCTCTTCTCTTCTAACCTTGCGGTATTTACTCGTTTCATAGCTAATAAACTAAAGGTGCTGACATACGGTGCAACATTGCACGCAACATTGCAATCAACAAATTTGAATCGGGGTGACACACATTGCAACATAATCACGCAACATCGCTTGTGTCAGCCTGATATGTTAAGATGTATGGTCAGAAGTTATAAATTTGGTACAAGCTGATTGGCTTGAAATTTCAAAATGTTGCAGGTAATGTTGCAGCCATTTTCATATGATGAAATTTGTTGCGCGCAATGTTGCAAGAGCAGAGCGCGGTTCAACTTTAGATTTGTTGCTTGCAACAAGTTTGGGGTAGACACACGGTGCAACAGTCCGGTTTCGTGCAATGTTGCATGCAATGTTGCACCGTGTGTCAGCACCTTAAAACTCCCATTTCGAGTTCGCCATTGCTCAGTCTTAGCCTCGATTGTGTACAAATGTGTTCTTTTCTTTCATTAAGGTCCATTGTATAGTAAGGAATGTACGCACTACAGAACAATATCAGTTGATTAAAATTCCACGGGTTTTTGTTGAATGACTGAATATTTTAACGCACAACCGAGTCTAAGGCTGAGCAAAAGTGAACTCGAAACTGGAGTATTGCACTTTTTGAAAGAGTGGTAAGAAATCTTCACATGAAAGTCATACTTACCTTCCTTTCAGGATCCAGTAAACGAAACAAAGTACGGTAGAAATCAATACCAAAGCTACAAGAAACAAGAAACATCAATCAATATGGTAATTTGATATGCAGACCTCTTGCACTGAGTCCCTAGAGGAATTGATCTTGGGGTCAAAACAAATAGATTGTTTTTGTATACGAAAAGACGCCCTATTGTTTTTCCCCCAGAACAATTCCTCTAGGAATTCAATGCAAGGGGTATATAGCTAGAATTCATTTATAGGAGAGACGGAAAGGGTCGGAGGAATCCAGAGGATCTATTTGTCCAAAAAAGGACAGGTATGTATGTACGTGTATCCTGATGTCGGTAACATAAGTGATCCCTTTACCTATAACAGCTGCTACCAGACCAGCGACCCCACAGCTAACGCCGAGTGCACTTCTCAACGACTCCACTGCGCATGACACCACATGCTTACTTTCTACGAAACAAAATAAAAGTTAGGATAGATTTTTATCACGCGGCAGCCATGTTGGTTGTATAACTTGACTAACACCGCATTTAAGTGCGCATGCTTTAGGATGAATTTAGGCGGGTCAAAAAAAACTTGTATTTTCGTGGGAATAATTTTATCGCATGTGAACATGTGAATATAGTCGTTTGTTTGTTCTCTTCTGTGCTTGAGGGGTTTTTCTCCGTAATAAATGTCACAGATTATGTTTAACATGTAAAATCAACTGCGCAGTTCCCATTAAGACACAGATATGAATATATTACGCAAATGTAAAAGGACGTACTGCTTTTGAGCGCTGCTGGAAGTGCCTGGGAAGCCCGGAAAATTCTGGGAATTGCAAACTATAAGGCATCATTCAAAGCCATCATTCATTATTTTAAGGAGCAAGTGTGGCTAAGCAGGTAAGTGCGCTGCCTGCTAAACGAGATGTCAGATGTGATCTCATACACTTGTTTCGACTTCTTCCTAATCATTGTGTAGCTTCAGCTTTGAATACTCTTAACACAAAGCACTGATGGAGAGAGAGGGGTAAAGTGTGCACATCAGCTCCTTGGAAGACCAGCCACTAGCTGAATAAACACAGATGTTAAATAAGGCCTTTATCTTTATCTCTTCCCATTTCAGGTACATGTAATGTGTTTGTTATTCACAGTTTCCTTGGCCCAAGTAAAGGTTATAGTGAAACTACAAATTCGCGGAATCTTTTGTCAGTCATAAATAAAATCTCCTGTAAATTAGAAGAGTACCTGCTAAGCCATCCTTGGGGATCATTCCACTTGCCCAAACTATCTCTGGCTCATCGAGCTTAAGAGTTCCTTGAAGAGTATCGTTTAAACCAATGACAGGTACGAAACGACCAATCACCGTTGATTTTGTAGCGAAGTTTTGCTGGACGATAATTGTGGATAGTCTGTCGCCTTTTCGGAAATGAACGCGCCCAGAAACGCCAAGAAAGTCGGTATGTTGAATAAACTCTCGAAAAAGTCTGAAAAAGTTATTCAAAAATAAGAATGAAAAGATGTTTAGAATGATCACAACATCGACACTGGTTATTAATGCAACTGATGTGTATACTTTTTACAGCAAATAATTATATAAATTAAGAGTAAAGAACCAGTCGAAGTACTCTGGCATATGGTAAACCAAGAAGTCGCAAATCGTTGGCCGTATCACGTCGCTACCAGATAAGTTTCACAAACGCCACCCCGTAATAGTTCGTTTGGTTAACTTTGATTCAGACAAATATTCGATACTCCTTCTGCAGCAGTGCAGGCAACGTTGCGCGCAGCAGTTATAGACCGATTTCGACCAAATTACCGCTATGCGAGCAACAGAGAACTCGAAATTTGAGTATTGTGGAAAGACGATACAAGCTTGTTGTTGCGTCGGTGCGTGCGACGTTGTATACAACAGCTCCACTGCAAGTGAGCTAGGACAGTAAGTATACAAAGTATCCACATTTATATCTAGCTTCAGTATTCCACTTGTATTGTTGTGTGAAGATTCCATAGCATCTTGGTGGTTATTGCAGGGGGAGGGGGAGTCACAAAGAAGATTTTTGACACCGATGACAAAACGCCAAGAGAGCGTTGAGTCAATCACAAGGAGCATAAATGCTGTTCAGCCAATCATAATTCTAGGCGCGGTACGTTCATGACCTACCGCGATGTCTCATCCGTGAATAAACTATCGAGTGCATCGGAAGAGTTGTGAAGTAGTTTGTCTAAAGCAAGTGCGTACGTCCATACGGCATCGTATGCTAAAGTAGCATATTCTGAAGGATTGACTCCCTGGAATGATGAAGAAAGGCAAATGTATCACTTACAAACATTTGAGAGGGTGATCACAGGGCGTATAGGTTTATAAGCCTGAAGATAAAGTTTTTGCACTAAATGCCGACTACACGGCATGACGCATTTATAAGTCCATTTCCAAGTCCCTTATTTTAATGTACGATTACCTCTTTTGCGTCGTGTAGAAACTGCCCGACCTGACGAAATTCAATTGATGGTTTTCACAGCCGCCATGTTGGATGAACGTAACAAAAGATTCGTCTTTAGTCTCTTTTGTTATGTCATCCAACATGGCTGCCGTGTCTTTTGTTATCTCATTCTCTTGGGAAGAGATAACTAGCTAAAAACTAGTGTGAGCTGCGTCTGTGTTACTAATGAAACTAATGATAAAAAGGTAAATCATACACCGTGAAAAGATGAAAAAACTGACGTTTCGGACGCTAGTCCTTCGTCGGAGGAGTAACATTCTCTTGGGAATGATTGCAAACCAACGATAAGTGCGCTAAGATTCTAGGGATTACGTACCAAATTTACTTAAAAGTAAAACATCTTTAAAAACCTATTTTGCAAATCTATAAAAAGGGCTTTCAAGCCACCACTACAGAGGCGAATCAATGAAGATACTGCAAAGGTTATAGCTTTTGTTTTTACTCAATGCCTCATACCTTCTGCTTAGCTTTTCTTAAATACTCTTCCTTCCATTTTTTGACTGTCCCTCCACCAACTATAACATCATCATCTTCACCGTAAAATGACACAGAAAGGCTGAAATACCCTTGATCAATCAGTTTCCTCATTTGCGCACTGCTGCAAGGCACGTGGTCAGCTGACGCATGCGAATCAATGTTGTATTTGTCTGTATCCCACCAATCATGGTCCAGCCAGCCAAGCAGGAACCAAACGTACCCTTTTGAAGGGCGAAGGCCCTGTTGCAAAGAAAAAAGGCGATGAATGAAATTATATATATAATAGATAAAATATATATCCCCCATTTTTACGCCAACTATATTCAACAACAATAAAAATAAAGTAAAACTACACCCGCGTTCATAATAAGCAATAGAAGTTAAGCCCCAGCACGCTCGATGACGATAAGACAATCGCTGTCTGATCAGCTTTTATTAACTAGTACGAGTATCAACAAGAGAGCGAAAAGTTCCACCTTTAGTAGTAAAACTGAAGTCTTAAATATTTTCAATCACTAACCATGGTCTCGCGCTGATTTCAATAACCTTGGCAATCAACAGCGGGGAAAAAACGAAAATAACTTATGGGATAAGGGTACCCAAGTAACCTTAGAAAACGTTTTGAAAATGTTACCAAACATTTCTTTTAAAATCTTATGACGAAATCACTTTGGAGTCCCAAAAATATAATAAGTATACTAGTAATTTCAATTTCTGCCACTCCTCCCGCACGAACGAACAATATGATTGGCCGTTTTACCAACAGATATATGTCTTACAGTCTTACCTGTTTGTAGGCCTCGCACATGACGGCTCGCGTGGCTGGTGGGTAAGCATTCAAGATGATTACAGTAAGTCCACTGTTCTTGATGCTTTTTACGTATGCTTTGGCATCCAGTTCTTTTTCTGACGGAATCTCACGTGACAAGACATAGATTCCACTACTGGTCAAAAATTCGGTGCGTGACACGACTGTGGCAGCCGGATACTTCATCTCTCGTAGAGTAACACAACGCTTCCAATTGAATTTTTCAAAAAGAGCTAGATAAGCTATTTTGAATTCATCGATACTTGGAGCTGTTCTGAAATAATATGGATATCTCGTCCTATCAGAGAGTGACACGTCATCGGCTCCATAACCCATTACGATCACGTTGTGGAAGTGTGACACTGCAGCCATCGGCATAGTCGCCTTGCTACACGCAGGTCCCAGGATCCCTACCACTTTGCGTGACGGGTCACGGTTCAGGTATGAGATGTATGCATTGAGAACCATCTCGCGACGACACTGGGTGGAAACGATGGGTAACTTGAGAACGTAATTTTTAAGTACAGCAGTTTCTTTATTAACGCTCTCGATGGCCATCAAAGCACCAATCTCGTCACCGGGACTCGACCAAACTGCTTCCGGCCCCGATAAGCTTGGAAACATCCCTCCAATATAAATCTCTCTCTTATTGGTCGCCTTTACTGGTAGCCATGGAAACCAAGTGTTATTGTTTTGTATTAGCCAATTGCAGACAGTTTTATATGGGGCGGTACTGATGTTCTCTAAAGCAGCTTGTTGTAACATCTCCGCCAAATGTTTTCGTTGTAGGCGAAAACGACTCATTAGGCTGAGTATATCATCATAGTTTGACTCCAGGCCTTTCCATACGAACTTTCGCAGCTCGAACGGAGATGAACAAGTGCATTTCCAAGTTGGATTTGACGATGACCTTTGCTGCGTGCTAAAATACAAAGGCTCGGTGAATATTACAGAGTCTTGCACAAACAAGACCTTACGATATAACTATTTCAAAAAAGATTGGTGAAGGTTTTGTTGCATGTTGCTTACTAAGTTTGAAATGTGTTATTTTCATATGCAAATAATATTGTCAGCAGAGAAGAAATTATGCAGGAAAAACCTGCAGATGTTCTATGTAGTATGTTTTGAATCCGAGAATGATTGTACAATGCCATCTTTCCAAGACATGCTTCTCTAGTCACGCACAAAAGTTTCAGTACAGGGCTACGTGCTAAATTTAATTTATTCTTTTCTCCTGTCACGAATCACTGAGCATTATGCTCCAAGCCTCACATTGAAACCTTTGTGCGTGACAAGCGAAGCATATCTGGCGAGGAAGTGGGCTATAAACCCTTTGGACGTGACGTCAATGGAGCTCAATTTGGAGAGCAAAACAAAAGAATTTTAATCTCAAGAGAATTGGAAACCTATTGAAACAGTAATGATGAAAAGGTAAATTATACACCGTAAAAAAGATGAAAAAACTTACTGACGTTTCGGACGCTAGTCCTTCGTCGGAGTAAAAGAGGAAACCTATTGTTATGTCCTCCATATTGAGCTGCATTCCGACGTACTGCAAGGGGTCTATATTGAGCGTACACGAATCAATCTTATTGTCAATAATTGTTTTTCAACTGGTTCTAGTTCTTACTTGCAGTTGGGAAAGTCTATTCTTGTGAATCTCCCGGATGTAGTCAGACGTTCTGAATCAAAAGCTGCAAACAGCAGTGGCTTATCACGTGATTCATACGTCAATAGCAAAACATCAGGCGAGGTGCGTATCCAGGCAACGGCCACCATTAAATCGAGGGAAATTATTTGGCTTTTGATATCTGAACTGCAATGAACTGATTTAAAGATAAGAAGAGATAATTCACTATTCAATATTTTTTATGCAGAAGGACTGGACGGCTGAGGATGACATCATTGCTTCATCAATAGGCCCTTTGCAGCTCAGTAATCACGTGCTGATTAATTCACTGAGAGCAAATGAATGAACATTTTGATTCCCATGGGTGAAATATACTGGTGAGCAAACAAGATTTCTACAACCTGTTTGGAGAGATCGTAATAAAACTGCATTTCGTAACACACTGGTTACACATCGTTTCATCCATTTATTTACAAGTAGCTAATAAGAAGCACCAATTTAAAATAAAAACAAAAAATTTGCGTGACCGTAAACTGCAAAGGACCTATTGTATCATGTGTAAAACAGCCATCAGCTCTTTCTTGTTTGGACGTATTGTTTCCCATTTTACAGACGAAATGACCCTCTATTGAGCATTCCTTCTTTACCCTTTTGGTAAACCGATATGGACCGAAATTCATCGCAAACACTGTGATACATAAGCCATTTTGCGCAGTATCCTTTGTATCTGTACAAAATATGAAAGCATTTGGCCTAGAAAATCTACTCACGGTTTTAAGCTACACACTTTTACCATGGCATCTGGTGGGATCCTACATTCATCTAAACTTTCTTATTATATTAATAGAATACCTTGATCCTGTGCTACCAGTAAGGCACATAGATTGGGTTCTCCACCAGCAGCTGGGTCACATCTCTTGGGGTAAAATACACGTGTCACGCATTCACCGCACGCCTCATGGATGGCAATCAACTCATCTGCACTAACGAGGTTTTGCTGCACTGCTGGGATTTGTAAACTACGCCAGTGATCTGCGGGGACGTTATGGATTTTCCACATTTCCCGAACAAAAGCAGCCGATACATACCAGTCATACCTGTGAAGCAAGACGGTGTCATAAGATGACATCATACGTTACAAACTTTCCTGTAACATTGCGCACCACATCACAGGTGGGTAACAGGGTTTGTAGAGGGATGTTACATGTAGCCACCTTTCTTGTAACATTGCACACCACACCACAGGTAGGTAACAGGGTTTGTAGAGGGATGTCACACGTAGCAACCTTAACTGTAACATTGCACAACACATCACAGGTAGGTAACAGGGTTTGTAGAGGGATGTCACACGTAGCAACCTTTCATGTAACATTGTGCACCACATCACAGGTAGGTAACAGGGTTTGTAGAGGGATGTCACATGTAGCAACCTTAACTGTAACATTGTAGAGGGATGTCACATGTAGCAACCGTAACTGTAACATTGCACAACACATCACAGGTAGGTAACAGGGTTTGTAGAGGGATGTCACATATACCAACTTTAACTGTAACATTGCACATCACATCACAGGTAGGTAACAGGGTTTATACAGTAGAAGGATGTCACATGTAGCAACTTTTCGTGTAACGTTGCGCACCACATCACAGGTAGGTAACAGGGTTTGTAGAGGGATGTCATATGTAGCAAACTTTCCTGTAACATTGCGCACCACATCACAGGTAGGTAACAGGGTTTATAGAAGAATGTCAAATGTAGTAACCTTTACTGTAACATGGAACATCACAGGTTTGTCTCAAAGTATTTTTAGCATTCTAGTAAGAATTGATCAAAGCGACCTACCTCCCAGTGTTGCCAAGAGAACCAAAGTCAACAAATGGTTCATAAGGAGAAGGATTTTGTGACAAATGCCAGCCAAAAGGAGTCCATACCTCTGGGTAGATGATGGCTGTAGGAATGCACTCTCCACTGGGAACATAAAACTTCCATTATTTGTTTGCTAAATAATAGATTTACGCGAAACTTTTACAGCTGTTTTCAAAAACAAACAGCCAAATTGGCTTCTTTCAACCTCAATAAATATTTTTCTGAGAATAAGATTTGTTTGAGTTGTATTCATATTCATGTGCAACTGTTAAACTAGGAAATGATACTCTAGGGAATGTTACATAGTTTGAAATGGTTAGAACATTTTGCCCAAGGTAAATGGGTCGATTGGTTCTTGCTTTTAGTTGACTGGCATCAACTTTGGTTAATGATGCCTCCCTGATTGCAGGTCATAGAAAATGGCTGCAAAAGTTCAACGTAAGAATAGGCATTAGCCAATGCAAGGTCAAGGAATCTACTGGGCTGAAAACGGTCTTACAATGTGCTTCAATGCCAACTGAACCCGGTTTTCCTCAACTTTGGAAAAGCTAATACTTGCATATGCATGAGCAAAAAAATACTTCTATGATGACAGAATGTTTTGTTTTAAGTGGGTTGACTCCCCGTGAAATACTATTTTTTGCTACGCACTAATGTAAAAACCATGCCTTACCTTTCATTTCGGCATTTCACATTTCTAAGGTTTTCGAGCGTCAGATGGACTGGCAATGAGCTAGTGAGAAGTACTACATTATCATAGCCCAATGCGTCCATCAACAACACACGAGTCAACTCTCCAACAATCTGACTCGACAAAAGAGTCCCCACAGAGATGGTGAGGGGAGTAGGTTTGTCATGGTGATCAAATATCTGTCTTTGATGTTTTCCTAGATTAAAAGCATTAAAGTAAGTCTTTTCTACTTCCTGTGTGGCAAGTCCAAAATACTTCACTTATACATTACTTTAAAAGGGTTGTGAGATAAATGTTGGAAGTTTTTATTTGTATAAAGCCATTCAAAATGTCAGGTTGTTTCCTTTTATAGTCATTATAAAATTCACTCCATAAAATACATCATTAGTCTGTCTGGAGTTGTAGAAATGCATTTTGAGGGATACTTAATCATCGCATTTTATGCATTAAAAAAGCAAATGTTTTTCAAGAGAGAAAAACAACCATTACAGCAGAGTGTTTTAATAAATCCTCCAGATTGGTCAATGTTGTGTTCCCTTGGAAACTTTAACAGGAATATCAAAACTCCATACGGAGGGGGTATGGGGAGGGGAGATATTGCTCATATTTGCTCATCATCCATTATATAAAGATTTTATTATAAAATATTAAATTCGCACATTAAGCATAACAGTAACACCAAACATAACGTAAAGTAAGAAAAAAAACACATGAATATATAGAATCAATTTTTAAAATTCATTTTTAATGTAAATTATATATTCTAGTATATTTAGTATATTTTTGAGGGAAACCTATAACTATCTTTTGGTATCTTCATTTTAATTTTCGAATAATTATTATATGGCCCCGGAGAAAACGACAAAGTGAGCATCGTGAAGTCAGAAAGGAAACACTTTACTAGTATCAGATAATGAATCTAACAACAAGAGAGCAGAACTTAGTAACAGTGGTTAATTTATCTATAATAAGAGAGAGCTTATGTTTTTACTTCTTTCCATGATTATATAACTTGATCTTCAGCTATTTAGTTAGCGTGCTGGGCAATGATAATAGATTAACAAGTCAATCATTTTTTAGAGTTAAACTACGAGAGAACCTACCTTCTATGTTAAATCCACGAAGACAGCTTTCCCTACTCGGCCATACAGCATTCAATCCGATTAGAATCAGAGCTGCAACTTTCAAAATGTTTTTTGCCATCAATCGGTCACAACCATGTTGATAACTCACGCATAGATGAGTCACAAATATTCAAATCCTCGTGGCTATACAACTCCATAAGAATTAGCTTGCACTCCCTATGACATCCAGTGCTAAAGATGTTTTTAGCAATTATACAAGACTTCATAAATTATCCTTGTTTGATTCTGTCGTATTCCAGGACATTTTGTCAAATTAGTTCAGCGTTCAAGATCTTCGTGACGACGACCGAATGTGTGCAAAAAGTCAACACTGGATTTATTGTAGAATCACTCGATCACAACATGGCCTTCTGAATATCCGTTTATAATCCTAAAGACCTGAATCACATCTTATAGATTTGTACTCACTGTTAGAAACAGTGATAAAGAATCACACACCACACTGTACTTGGTACACGAGGAACGAATGGGACTTGTACTCATTATGCTAATTAATCCCGTGGGAGGGCAAGTGTGGCTTGAAAAATCAACAAAACTCGACAGCCTTTTACTAGTAAGTTAAGTGCGAACGTTTTAAATCATTGTTCTTTTGCAAGTAGAACTTTTAGTTACGATTATGGATTATCTAGTATAACAAGAAAACGCAAACTGATATACCAGCAACAACATATTTATAAACCTCTATAGTCTCCTACGCCCAAATAAACTAAATGTTGTAAATAAAATAATTGAAAGTAAAAAAAAATACATAAATTTGAAAGCTCTCTATTGGTACCAAAGGCAGGCGCTAAAATAAAGAAAAAGACTAGTTAGAATAGTAAAAAATATTTCTTGATTATTCAGTTCTTGTTCATTAACAGTAAAAGGTTGGCGTTCTATCTCTTCTTCTCCCTCTAACCCACTTCCCCCTGGGGGGGCTTCCTAACAGACGAAGTCCTAGGGTGGTCACGCAACGCTTTTCTCAGTACCACAAGGAGGAGAGAAGCGTTGCGTGACGACACCATAAACCTAACCCATTGAGCCATAAGTTCCCGGCTTCAGATCCCGTCTATGTTCCTCATCTTCTCAAACACCCAAGGCGTCATCACCATCATGTTAGAGTACACACCATACTTGTGAGGACTGGCGCACTTATGTCCCCACGACACCACCCCGGTCAGGAAGTATTGTCCATTCACTGCACAGCTGAGCGGTCCTCCACTATCGAACTGACATGAATCCACGCCTCCCTTTTCAAACCCAGCACACAGTGCTCTACCATGGATCTTTCCTGAATACGAGAGTTTTTTGTTACAGGTATTTGTGGAGACTAGCTTTAACTGGGCCTCGTTGAGTGCCTCTGGTTGCGTGCCGTTGAACTTGGTATGGCCCCATCCAGAGATATAGCAAACTTTTCCCCAGTGGAACTTGGTGTGGGGACGCAGAAGACAGATTGGGTACACATTCTCGTCCATGATGGCTGGTTCTTTGAGTCTTACGAGAGCTAAAATTCAAACAAAAACTCATTCATTGCATGCAGAGGCTATCATTCCGAATTATACGAAAAGATTGTGCGATTTTTTTAAATAATTGTAAGTGCCGATAAAAGAGTCCTCATGCAATCCATAGGAATCATAAGTAGGGCATGACCCCATCCCTTGTAAATCCTTGACTTGTAACATAGGCTGCGTTTACAAGGTACCAATCAATTTTTCTTCCGCGTACTAGCGAAAAAACTCAACCTTGATTTTGCAGATTCCAAAAATGTGCACGGCTAAGCGTACGAATTTTTCCGGAATAGCACAGACCCGTGCGTGTGAACGGATCGCCTAAAAGTTCAACTTTTGGACGGGTTACAATTCATTCGTCCAGTACCGTGTAAACGCAGCCATAATACTAATGGAGCTACGCTTTTGAAATTAATTTGATTTCAAAATACCCTCCTACTCAGCACTTTGTCGCATACTCACCAATGTCATAATCTGGTGGCGTGTCAAAGATGCCTTCAAATAGCATTGATTTGTACTTTGGATGAAGAATGATTCTTTCAATATCCCTTATTTGCTCAAAAGATTCTTCCTTCTTCAGTTTGTGCTCCCCTAAAGTTGCGGTCCACATCTTAGGATCCGTAGAGCTGTACGTCTCTGAACAAATCACATATTAAAGATAATTAGATGGCGGAATACACGTCACACGTAGCAACCTTAACTGTAACATTGCGCACCACATCACAGGTAGGTAACAGGGTTTGTAGAGGGATGTCACACATAGCAACTTTTACTGTAACATTGCACACCACATCACAGGTAGGTAACAGGGTTTGTAGAGGGATGTCACACGTAGCAACTTTAACTGTAACATTGCGCACCACATCACAGGTAGGTAACAGGGTTTGTTTAGGGATGTTACACGTAGCAACCTTAACTGTAACATTGCACACCACACCACAGGTAGGTAACAGGGTTTGTAGAGGGATGTTACACGTAGCATCCTTTCTTGTAACATTGCGCACCACATCACAGGTATGTAACAGGGTTTGTATAGGGATGTCACACGTAGCAACCTTAACTGTAACATTGCGCACCACATCACAGGTAGGTAACAGGGTTTGTAGAGGGATGTCACACATATACTCCAGTTTTGAGTTCTCCTTCCTCAGCCTCAGTTGTACGTTAAAATATTAAATCCTTCAACCAAGACCCGTGGAATTTTAATCAACTCTTATTGTTCCTAAGTACGTACATTACGGACCTTAATAAAAGAAGAGAACACTTTTTCACACAATTGGCTAAGACTGAGCAAAGAGGAACTCAAAATGGGAGTATCCTTGGGGTGCATAATACGTAATAGCCACCATGTTGGTTGACGATAACAAAGCATTCCTCATTAGCTTCTCTTGTTAGATCAACAAACGTGGCGGCTGTTTCATTGTTATTTATAACTCAAGGGATTTTGAGTCATCATCACCATCACCATCATCATCCCCATCATCATCATTACCACCACCATCACCACCACCATTACCATCACCATCACCATCACCGCCACCATCACCACCATTATGATTGTCATTATTATTACCAGGCCTATACCTACCGTGAAAACAATGTGACGCAGTAACAATCCAGTTGTGGTTAACAAGAGAGCCGCCGCAGAGCTGAGTGCCATTGTAGAACAGAGCAACTTGCCAAGGCCAAGAACCTTGCTTGCTTTCCTTTCCTCCAACGATGCGCTTGTTATACTCGTAGTTCTTCATCAACGTGCTCCAAGAAAAATGTCTGCTTTGAGCGCTTTTCCTAAACCTCCATCCACAGAAAGGGAAACTATCTGTTTGAAACAAATAGGTTTTATTTTATTTTTAACATTCACAATTGTTTGATGAGGCCTCCTGATAATCAGTTTCCTCTCGTTGTCGGAGGTCCAAAAAAGTATTTAGAAAGAAGATAGAAAGATGAATTCAGAATCATTTGTATCCGATGAGTTTATATAATGTTGAGCTAAGGTCGGTCTGCGCGCGAAACAGCAAACTGTTCACTACGCCCGCAAAACATCATAGACGTGCTCCAAGCCAACCAATCTTACCGGGCTCGACAAAATACAGCAGACAAAAAATATCCACCCGTATTCCACCCTCAAATGTCTAATAAGATATTTATGTGTCTTATAACCGCAGCTGCTTCACATGCTGCTTCTAAAAATTCAAACTGGAAAAAACAAATTATCCTGTTCAAGATGAGAAAACTGAGGATGTCTACTGGAACTGCAGCTGCATGACATGCTCGATTGCGTGATTTCAAAAACTTTAAACTTGAAAAACAAATCGTTGGTATAAAATTATCCTTCAAGATGAAAATACTGCGCAAGTCTACCACGACTGCATGATATGCTCGATTGCTTGATTTCAAAATTCAAAATTCAAAATTTTCAAAATTTTTCGGTTTTTAATTTGCAACCCAAAATCAAAGTCGTAGACAGTTGAAAATGTTTTGTCTGATAAATTTGTGAAAAATAGTGTTTAACCGTGCGTTATTCGTGATAGACAGCACGCTTCATAATGTCTAACCACAAAAGATAATAGTTTTTAGAACTTATATCAAAGCTACAACTCTCTATATTTGTATATTTAGGTTTGCCTAGAGTTTAGTGAAAATAAAATAAAGTTATTCATCATATTTGCGAGTTCCATGAACATATTTCCATCGCGTGATCTTTGAGTTTGAAAAAGGCGCCAAACTGTTTCATGGATGCTAACATTATCATTGTCACGCATGCCTTGTTCTAGACAGCTGGACTCATATATATGTTATAACTCCTTCGTTCATGCAATATGAACCACCGGCTAAAGCAAAACAACAAAACGTACTTTAAAGTGGAAACTAACGATCAAAATGCCGAAGCTATGCAGATGAGAAACACGCTAGGCATACTTGGGTATGACAACTGAGTTTAGTTTCAGAAAAACAAACCGCAAAACAAATGACCCATAACTTCCGGCTAGAATTTTCCGTTATACACACATCAGTGAATGTTCGTTTACCTATTAGTGTACTACTGTGTCTGTTTACTGGAGACAATATGACAACTTATTCATCAATCCACGTTTAAGTCAGTGGAATTTTTCAAACTATATCTCAAACTATTTGGAGTTGTGAGAGAGACGTTTCAAACTTTGCAAAAAGAAAACTTGCAAAACTGTTAGGGAAAAAGCCTTAGGTCTCAAGAATAGTATTATTTTTCTTACCTAAATTTCTTTTCTCTGCTATTCCCTCTTCATTTTGTAAGATAACACCAAAGATAATAAACACAGCAAACAGCATTTTTTTGATTAAATTGGTTAGTGAGATTCCCCTTTCACGTTCGTACCTCTCTCTGGTTGCTTGTTTTACGACCTCACTGCAAGTGTGTCTGTGCTATGACTTTTGAAACGTATTTGAAAGATAAAACAAAGATTATGATTGGTTGCTTGGGAAAACAGAAGCGGGTTTGGTTTAAACACAGGGAGCCCAAGCTTGGTTTTCTTGCATAATAATAATCATCATCATCATTAATAATGGGACCTCGCTACGTATACTCCCTTGTCGCTGTTGTTATATTCAATCCGTCTAATTAAAGTACATTATCGAAAATACGAAATTAAGAAAACAATTTTATTAACCATGCAGTTTTGTCACCTCTACACCCCTACACTTTGTCACATAAAGACAAAGCAGGGCCACAATTCGGCTTTCCTGATTTGGCCAACCTGATGCGAAAAACAAAATCTTTTAATTTAGCTACCATTCTTCCGAAACAATGAGATATAAAGCAAGAAGTTTGGAAAAAGCCTACATCGCTACACCATCAACAAGTACATTTTTGTAATTCTCTGGCAAACGAAAAAGATCAGAAGTTATTCAACTTAAAAGACCGTAATGTAACCCCTTTAACGTGATATATCAATCAATCAATCAATTTTTATTCAGTACCATAATATATATATTTAGGCACTGCCTATAAGCGGAGCTCCCGATACGGAAGTCACAGGGAGAACAATTTAAATGAAACTGAAAGGTGAAAATAAGATCGGGAAAAAAATCTTCAATTATTTTTTATCCGAAATGATGACAATTTCTCCCATAATAAAAACCATGCAGTAAAATCCAATCGAAATGCACTACATCGTTTTTTGGTTTTTTGTTTTTTTGCGCGAGTATACTCTCCCACTTAGGAATTTTGTACACAACTTACCCCACCTCCAGGGGCTAGTTTTTTTCTTGGAAGATTCTTCGACAAAAAGTTTTCCAAGGCCGACAGTTTTAGGCTTTGAATCTCTTTTACTTAAAGAAAAACGAAAGCTAACTACAGATAATCCAATACAATATCAAGTTTAGTGAAATTTACCTCGGATGTCTTTCATTGAAATCGAAAATCCGTCCGTCCCTGTACACAACACAGGAATCCCGCTTGATGTCAAAGCAAAACTACTCACAAATGCGGCTCTCAAATGCA